CTCCCTCCCTCCCTCCCCCCCAGTGGTTAGAAGGCAGTATTGCAGGCTAATTTTGCCCTGCCCACTGCCGAGAGTTCGATCATGACCAGCTCAAGGTTGGCTCAGACTTCCTTCCTTCCTTCCCCCCCAGTGGTTAGAAGGCAGTATTGCAGGCTAATTCTGCCCACTGCCGAGAGTTCGATCATGACCAGCTCAAGGTTGGCTCAGCCTTCCTTCCTTCAGAGGTTGGTAAAACGGAGACCCAGATTGTTCCGGGGGTGGTGATGGTTGTGGGCATAAGCCGACTCTGTAAACAGCTGAGAAAATGCTGCAAAGCTTTCTGAAGTGGTCTACAAGTCTAAATGCTCTCACTCTTGCGCTTTTCCTCCCTTCCGCTCGCTCATTCTGAGGCCAGGCTTAGTTTCCGTCTCCCCGTAGGAGCTCTGCTGTAGAATTCAGAAAGCTTGCAAGGTGACGTGCACCGCTCTCTCCACCCAGAAGCTCACGGAGAAACTGAAGCAGGAGAAGCAGGGGTTGGAGCAGTCCGCCTCCGATCTGCAGAGGACCATCGCCGAGCTGGGGGAGCTGATCCACGAGATGAAGGAGAAGGAGAAACTCTTGGTCTTCTTCCCTGATCTTCACATTCCCGCGGAGACCCAGTTTGAAAGTAAGTTTCCCTTCCCCCCCCCGGGTAGGAGGAGGAGGGACTCCCCCTGAATCGACATGCTGATTAAGCGCCGTGAATGTGAACTCCACCACCACCATCAAAGTAAGAGGTTACTGTATTTTTCGGAGTATAAGATGCTCCAAAGTATAAGACGCGCCTAGCTTTTGGGGCGGAAAACAAGGGAAAAACAATCTGCCTCCTAGCAATTTGCCTCCTTGCAGCAAACAGCAAACCACCACCAAAGAGGTTACAATCTCTGCCTCCTAGCAATTTGCCTCCTTGCAGCAAACAGCAAACCATCACCAAAGTAAGAGGTTACCGTATTTTTCGGAGTATAAGACGCTCCAAAGTATAAGACGCACCTAGCCTTTTGGGGTGGAAAACGAGGGAAAAACAATCTGCCTCTGCCTCCTAGCAATTTGCCTCCTTGCAGCAAACAGCAAACAGTACAGACAATATACATTGTTTGTAGTGTTACATTTCAGGCTATACTGGTACTGATGCTGTTAAGATGGATGCGGCTTTCTGGAAGTATAGTTATTCTCTGCTATTTAAAAGAAGGTACAATAGCACTGGGCCTCTTCAGATCAAGCATTTGTTTAAAAAAAAGCTTCTTCATTTTGTTAAGCTGTCTAGAACAATAATAAAGCTGTCTTTGAAAAAGAAGTCTAATAAATTGAACATTCTATAGGCATTTATAGTTATTGACTTACCTCATTGCAGCAAACAGCAAAAAAAAAAAAACCCAGCCTGTTTCAGTTTAGCCTGATTAGCACAAGGGGGGAAAAAAATCTGTCTCTGCCTCCCAGCAATTTGCCTCCTTGCAGCAAGCAGCAAGTTTCACTTTCAATTTCAATAGGGGCCTCCCGATAATCAGCTGTTTCAGGCTGCAGGGATTCCCATAGCCTATTGCTGTCTCCGCGAGCCCCATTTTCTCCGTTTGCTGCAAGGAGGCAAATTGCTGGGAGGCAGAGACAGATTTTTTTCCCCCCTTGTGCTAATCAGG